TGATACCAAAGGTTCAAGTAGAAAGCAAATGTATTGAGAATGATGGTAACAAATGTACAAAAGTGCTTGACACAATGGATATAGATATATGGATTGTGGTAAGAGTTGTATGAGCCCCCAAAAAAATGATTTAAAAATTAAAAAAAAAAATTAAAAACCTGGATTTACCTTTGAAGCCTTTATTTAGCTGAGGGCTTGGATGTATACTTAGTAATGGACGGAAGAGGAAATAATTCTTTGGGCCTTATGACACCTCTTCTAGGTCTTTCTCCTCTCTCCAAGCCACTGATTTGGTACTTTTCCCACGTGCGTTCATTCGCAAGGTCGGCTTCAGAGACCCGAGCCGCCGTGAGGACTTCCCGCCGCCAGGGGGCGCGCCGAGCACCGCGGCGCGAGGCCGCTCTGGCCCAGCCCGGCCTTCGCTGGCCTCGGTGGCCGGCCCCTCCCCTCCCCTCCTCCCACCGCAGTCGCCTCTGGGAAGGTTTGGCTGCAGCTGCCGCCGCTGCTGCTTCTCCTGCGAATTAAAGGTACCTGGGCTGAGGCCCGCGGGGCGGTCCGGGGCGGGAGCCACTGACATCTCCCCTGCCAACCCTGCAGGACCGGAAAGCGCGGCCTGGGGGGGTCTGAGGGGCCGCGGCACCCGGGATCCCACGTCCATCCCGCCGGCCGCCGTGGGCCCGGAGTGGCCTGGTCACGGGGTTGTCCAGCCCGTCAGGGCCGGGCAAGGCCTGCGCGGTGGTTTGCCTTATGGTTTGCGTAGGGTGGTGAAGCGGCGGCCGGGCGCGGAGGGCGATTCCTCGGGAGGTGGAGGGGAGCTGCTTGCGGGGTGCCGCCTTGCTAGACCGCGAGAGCGTGTGCGGTGTCAGCCGCAGCTGGAAAGCCCGCGCAGATGATCCGAGTGGCACGGGCTTTTCCAGGGTTTGGACAGCTGGCAGGTCGGGCACACGCAGCCCCTGCTTCCACTCCTCCCCAACAAGCAGTGCTGAGGGGCTGCTGGCTTCCCCAGCACGTTTGCAACCCGGTGCGCCGCCTCGATGGAAAATATACATACATCCTGCTTAAAACGCCCCACCTGCTCCGAATCAGCTACAGAGCACGAAGAATGGGTTTCCTACGGACTGTCGCCTTCATTCTTGAGGAAGTAACAGTGATGCCAACGAGCCTCTTGGCACAAAGAACTCTGCTACGGGGTAAGGGAATTATTGTTAGGTGAGCGTAATAGCTGGGGGAGCAATCTCGCTGCTGGCCTTGTAACCGGTCCAGATTCGAACCCACCAGCTACGCTGTAGAAGAACGATGTGGCAGTCCGCCCCCACCAAGATTAAAGCCTAGGAAACACCCTGGGACAGTGCCATCTGCCCTGTGGAGTCGCTCTGAGTCAGAATGGCATCCATGCTCTTAGCAGCAACTCCTAGCGGGGTTTCAAGTTCCGGGGAAGAATTCTATTATCTTGTAAAGCTGTTTTTCCCCTGAACTTTTTGAAGCCTTCTCTAGTTGAGACATTAGGCCAAGTGCTTTATAGAAGTGCGTTTTATTTCCTCCTCCTGGCTATCCTATGAAACAACCTTTTCATTTTACAGATAAGGAATCTGAGGCACAGAGTCAGAAGAAATTAGCCAAGATCAGACAGCCAGCAAAGGCCCAGTCAGGGCTTGAGCCCCACTTCCCATACTGCACTGCCCATACTTGAGTTGTTACCAAGCCAAGCATGGTAGAGTTCTATTGGGTTTTTGCTTGCTTGTTTATTAATTAATGATGCAGCCAGTGTTATCAGGCGTCAGTTCCTGGGTGAGAGTCCCCCGTCACCTCTTTTTTAATTTAAAAAGGAGTTTGATAAAAAAAAAAAAGTTTACTCATGTAGGATCATAGTCATACAGTAAACTTGGGCTGTGCGCCCCCCCCCCCCCCCTCCGCCAACAATCTCACTGGCATGAAGTTGATGCCATCTCATTGCAACCCTTTAGGACAGTGTAGAACTACCCCTGTGAGTTTCTAAGACTAACTCTTCCTGGGGGTAGAGAGCCCCATCTTCCTCCCACTGAGCTGCTAGTGGTATTCTAACTGCTGACCTTGCAGTTAGCAGCCCAGCATGTAACCACCCAGGCACCAGGGCTTTTGGGGGCCCTGCCTACTCTAGTGAAATCTGTTTGGAAATAGGGATGAGTTTGTGTGGTTGTAGATAAGCTCCAAACTTGACTTCATTTGTGTTTGGTGCTACTTTTACTGGCGTCACGTTGCCTTGGTAATATTCTGACAGCCATGCTGAAGGGAAAGGAACGTTAATTGTTTGACAGTCAAGGAATGTTTCTCAGAATGTAGGAAAGGTGTTGGAGAGACACTGTGAAGTCATGAGGCATCTTTAGAGCAGATTCAGTTCCTATGGAAGATATTAAAGAATTCCCACACTTCCTATCACTGTCAGAGCAAGCTGTATTTCCTATTGTAGAAGGAGGTTAGATAGGGTCCAGACTCTCTCAACCTCATCAAGATTTAACTTTTTGTACTCTACAGTTATATAATACATGTACATATAATGCATATGTAAATACCCATTTACTCTCTGCCTTCCAGTCGATGCCGACCCTAAAGGACAGCGTAGAACTGCCACTGTGAGTTTCTGACACTGTAACTCTTAACAGGAGTAGAAACCCCTATCTTTCTTCCACTGAGCTGCTGGTGGTTTCAAACTGCTGACCTAGCAGTTAGTAGCCGAATGCATAACCACTACAACACCAGGGCTCCAGTTATGTAACTGTATACACATAATGCATATATAGATCCCTACATATAATACATGTGCCATCATATGATGCATATACTCCTACACTGAGTGCTTCCCATGCTCAGGCACTGTTCCAAGCACTAGGAGGAGAAGAATCAACATACAAAATCCCTGTCCTTGTGGGACTAGCATTCCACTGGGGGAGAATGGGGTGGGAACAATAAAGTGGTTCTTTGAAATTGAAGTAACACGTAGTTGCTCATACGGTAATAACTACTAAGAAGAAAAGCAGGAGAGGGGGCAGGAAGGGAGCAGCAGGGGTGAAGTGGGTGCAGTTTTGCAATAAGATAGGCAACCAGAAAGATTGGCACCAAACCTGAAGGAGCGTGGGACAACTAGGAGCACCCCAGGCTGAGAGAAGAGCAAGTGCAGAAGCCAAGGTAGAACCCCCCCAGTCTTGTTGGAGGTCCAGCAAGGAGGCCATGGACTTGAACAGAGGGAGGGAGGCAGAGTAGTAATGAGGCCTGGCCAGGACTGGCTTTCCTCTGAATGAGGAGAGACGTGGTTAGAGGGTTTGGAGTAGAGGAATGATGGATCCAACTTCATGTTCTTGAAGGGTCATCCTGGCTGCAGTGCTGAGAGGTGACTGCAGGGGACCAGGGTGGAAGCAGGGAGGAAGTTAACACAGTAATCCAAGTGAGGGATATTGGTGGCTTTATTCAGGTAATGGCAGCAGATGGAGTCAGAAGTGGTCCTACTGCAGGCAAAAGCCACGTGTGACATGCCTGTTGGAGTAAGGCTGGGGTTCAAAGGTTCAGACTGGAAATAGAAATTTCAAGTAGATCCTATTTTAAACCCATGAGCCTGGGTGAGATCCAGCCAAGAAATGGGGACCAAGCCGGGGTTGTCCATATTCAGAGGTGAGGGAGTGAAAGTACCAAGGACTCCAGAGGCGAAGGGGAGGCCTTTTTGAAGGTAGGAGGGAAAAGAAGTGAGTGCGGAGTACTGGCAGCCGGGAGAAGAGACGTTGTCAAGGAGAAAGTGATCACAATTGTGTCGCCTCCTGATTTTCACAAAATCACCCTGGTGAGCTTGCCAGAGCACTTCCGGGGTGCAAGAACCCGCTGTTGTCAAGCCTGCCCCTGCCTCGTGGCAGCACCATGTGTTACGATAAGTAGAGTTTCTCTTCCCCGTCAGCATTATGGAAGCAGGTCCCCAGGCCTTTCTTCCTTGGTGCTGCTGCCTAGGTTTCAACCTCCAACTTTTGTGTTAGTCTTACCACAGGTCGTGTGTTAATTTAGGAGTCTTTTCAGAGGAGCAGTGGGGAGACAACCTGATGGCGTGGTTTCTAGAGAGAGTAGGTATGAGCAGCTTGTTCGAGGAAGGTAGCCAGCCATGTCTTTATTTTCACCTTCAGCTACCTAGCCTCAGCACTTGGATTTTTTTCCAAATCGATGACTTGTATAAATAATTAACTCTCAGAGCCAATGCATCATAAAGCTTGACCTTTTTTATGTAACACGTTTCAGGACACATATAAATGCGGGGGTAGAGTGGGTTCTCTTGTCACTCACCTTTGCCCTTTGCCTTGGTTTACAAACTTAATTTAGAGATGCTACAAACTGTATGTTTAAAACAACACATGGCAGCTCGGGCGGGCGGTGAGTGTGCGCGGGCCGAAGGGGCTGTCTGCAGGCGGCAGGGATCCGGGACTGTAGCTCCGCCGTGGCACAGGGATTGGCCTCTCTGGAGATGGTTTCTCCTCCCGGACTCGAGGTTGGGGTGGCCAGGCCGGAGGGGCATTCGCTGAAAGAGAGGCTTCACCCACCCACAGGGGTCACCTGGGAGTGCAGCCTGGATTGTGCTTCCGGGGCTCTGGCCTCCATGAGCTACAGGTGCCGGGCTCAGAAATCATTTTTCAATAATTGTTTTTGATTGCTGGACATTCAGCTGGTGAAGTTGAAGGTCTATTACTCAGAAGAAATAGGTCAATAAGGAGGAGAACCTGAGCCTCACGTGCTTCCAAACTGCTGTGGATGACCCTGGCCCTCCAAATCACCCTGCCAAATAAGATGTCACTAAGGTCCCTCAAATGGAGCCTTCTCCTGTTGTCACTCCTGTTTCCTCGTGATGTGGTACCTCAGCCTCCCCACTACAATGTGATCGAACGTGTAAACTTCATGTACTTCTACAAGTATGAGCCAATTTACAGATGAGACTTTCCATTCACACTACGAGAACATTCCAACTGCTCTCATGAAAACCCCTGTCTTGTCATCCTCATCACCTCACACCAGACAGGCCATCAGAGGCACTTGGGGTGAAAAAAAGTCCTGGTGGGGACATGGACTTCTTACATTTTTTTATGAGGCCAACAGGCTGAGAGGAAACACTAACATTGGCCTTAGAGGATGAACACCGTCTTTATGGCGACATAATACGCCAAGATTTTTTAGACCCCTATAACAACCTGACCTTGAAAACAATCATGGCCTTCAATGCCACGTATGTCATGAAGACAGATACTGATGTTTTCATCAATACTGACAATTTAGTGAAGTATCTTTTACATTCAAACCATTCAGAGAAGTTCTTCGCCGGCTATCCTCTAATAGATAATTATTCCTACAGAGGATTTTACCCCAAAACCCATATTTCATGACAGGAGTATCCTTTCAAGGCGTACCCTCCCTACTGTAGTGGGCTGGGGTACGGCATGTCCCGAGACTTACTGCCGTGGATCTATGACACAATGGGTCACGTGAAGCCCGTGAAGTTTGAAGACGTCTATGTTGGGATCTGTTTGAATTTGTTAAAGGTGGACATTCATGTTCCAGAAGACAACAACCTTTTCTTTTTACGTAGGAGCCATTTGGACGTCTGTCAGCTCAGACGTGTGATTGCAGCGCATGGCTTTTCTTCCAAGGAAATGATCACATTTTGGCAAGTTATGTTCAGGAACACCACATGCCACTATAGATCTCACATTTTACCAGACGCCTAGAGTAGGGCAGGGCACTCCGTGGTCAGTGGTAAAGTTGTGCTGTAAAATTCAAATGGGAAACCCACCCAAAGGGTGGTCCACGGTCTTACACAGACAGAAACTCACCAAGAACTCATAGGAGACAGATGTCTCTCACACAGGTGGTTTAACACAGACCCTTTTAGGGTCATGTTCAAAGGAATTGACATCTTATAAAAGAGTTAGGAGATTTTTGCTAATAAACAGGACCAAACAATTGAGATCGTCATTCTGTAGCCATGAACTTCTTACAAGGGTCTCACCGAATTTTGAGCTCATCCACGCATAACTGCCACACCATGCGGAGTTCTAGTTATTGAAGTCTAGTCACTGAAGGGTTTCATGTATGTCTTACATGGATTAGGAATTTTAAAATATTAGTTCTGTGTGATAGATTTAACTAAAGTAATTCGGAACAAAATTTCATCTTTGGATATTCAGAATTTCAGTCTTACGGTATTTCAGAATTATCAATTATTATTCAATATTGCTTAGTTTTTTGTGTTTGAATATTATGGTTGTTTTAATATTGTATAACCAGAACAGTGACTCACCCCTTACACTTAATTTTTCCCCCCAGTTATTTCAGTGGTCGGTCAATTATTGATACCCCATCCATGTAAACTCTTAGGTGTTTATTGCATTTAAGTAACTGCCTTGGAAATCGAGAGGTATTTACCGTGGTAATAATTGCGAAGAGTTCAAGCAAGAAGTGCTGGAGTGCCTTGTTTTGAACAATGGGATCCCCAGGACTTTTAGATGTCACTTTATCGGCCTCATTTTGCACTCGTACATCAACTAGGAGTACGGCAGGATGTTTCCTTTGTGTTTTGGGAAGGACTTAAAGATAAAAGAGAGAGCGAGAGAGCCTGTTGGCCACAGTATTATGAAACAGTGTTATGCGCAAGTATTTGGAGCGAGAAAGGGAAGAGTCACAGTATTCATCCGCTACATGTGTTTTCTCCTTGAAAATAAGTTTGTGAATAAACTGAAAAAAAAGAAAAAACAAACACAACAACCCACACATACACATCACACAAATCGAGACCATGATTGAAGTTTGCTGTCTCAGTAGTAATAAGTACTGACAGTTCTGGAGTGCATCTTTTAAAAAAATCATTTTGTTGGGGGCTCTTACAACTCATAACATTCCATACATCACGTGTACCAAGCATATTTATACGTACGTTGCCATCATCATTTACAGAACATTTTCTACTTTTGAGCCCTTGTATAAGCTCCTCTTTTTCCCCTCCCACCCTCATGAATCCTTGATCAATTAGATATTGTTTTTATTTTTTTGTATCTTGCACTGTCCGTTGTCTCCCTTCACCCACATGAGTGCATCATTTTTATTAGAATTCATTCATGAACAAAATAAGACTATAGTTTTCTATTGCTTATAAAATATTAAAAGTAATACTTCATTGGAAGAAAAATGTGTGAGTTAAATAAGACATTGTGGTATTGTAAGATAGTAAGAGGCAGTATGGTATTATGAGATCCAGAACTCCCAACTCACTGCCGTCATGTCTGTTCCGACTTCTAGGGACACTGTAGGGCAGGCTAGAACTGGCCCTGTGGGTTTGTGAAACGGCATCTCTTTTTGAGAGTAGAAAGTCCAGTCTTTATCCTGCAGATTGGCTGATGGTTTCAAACTGCTGACCTTGTGGCTAACAGCCCAATGTGTGGCTACTATACCACCAGAGACCCTATTGTTATCAGATCCGAAAAAAACCACACTCACTGCCATCGGGGTCAGTGCTGACTCATAGCCCCCTGAAGGTTTCTGAGACGGTAACTCGTTATAGGAGTAGAAAGCCCAGTCTTTCTTCCTTGGAGTTGCTGGCGGTTTCAAACAGCTCAACACGTAACCACTACAGATAGTAAATGTATGAAAGAGAGTGGAATTTTTTTTGGACATGGATTTAACTTCTTGTTTCTGCCTTCAGCAAATTAACGCCACAATCTACAAATGATTAAGGTCTACATACCAAATTTACGAGATTGATTGTGAATCTAAGCTCTTTAACTCACGACTTCTTTAAAGTGTTGAAAAACAAGGATGTTACTTTAAGGACTAAAACACTTTTGATCCAAGCCAAGGTGTTTTTAGTCGCAATATATGCGTGTGAAAGTTGGACATTGAATAAGGAAGACTGAAGAAGGATCGATGCATATTGAACACTGAAAGGACCACGAACTGCCAAAAAACCGATTATGTCTTGTAAGACATGCAGCTAGAATGCTCCTTGGAGGCAAGGATGGTAAGATTTTGTCTCTCATACTTTGGACATGTTACCAGGGGAGTTGAGCCCCTCTCCCCCAAGAGAAGGCCGTCTTGCTTGGTACAGTTGAGGGGCAGTGAAGAAGAGGAAGGCCGTGCACAAGATGGATTGAGACCGTGACCTCAAACGGGGTGAGTGGGAAAATCTATCAAGATACCCCCGTGGAATTCCAAAGTATAGTCACCATAACCTGGATCTCTCAGCTGGGAGTTTCACTGGCCCAGCAGTGAGTTTGGTTTGAGTTTACGGAAGGTAATTTGGTACCGACTTACCCTGCAGTGTTAGAGACACAAGCCCTGAAATGTCATATTGATGGTAACCGTTTAGAAAAAGTATTGAAAATAACCACAAAAGGATAGGACAAGGGAGCCAAAAGGTTCAGTACAGTAAACCAACAACACAAAAGTTAGCAGCACTAATGGATCAAGACAACGAAGGCACTAATGGACACACACACACACACACACACACACACACACTCAAAATAAAAAAATGACATAAGTCACTTCTAATCAGTAATTGCAGCGAATGTAAATGGATCAAATGCTTCAATCAAAAGGTGGAAAATGGCAGAATGAATTTAAAAACACAATCCAATTATATGCAGTGCACAGGAAACATACACACACACAATGCAAACTCATGTCTCTGAGTCATTCTTACCCTAATAGGCCAGCATAGAACTGCCTTGGTTGGTTTCCAAGACTGGAGGTCTTGATGGGAGCCGAAAACCTCAGCTTCTCCCCAGAGAGGCTGTGGGGTTCAAACTGTTGACTCGACAGCTGGTAGCCCAACACGTGACCCACTGCCGCCCCAGGGCTGCTTAGCCAAAGAACATATGTCATAATGATAGAAGGATGCAGTGTGACCTTACCAAAACAGTTGAGGCATTTGCCCTTTGCTGTTGCTTTTAGTCCTAATGGGAGTCAGTAGTTTTGTGGGACTCATCCTGCTTCCTTCATTTAAATCTATTCTCCGAACCCCGCCCCATGCCCTGTTCTACACTAACTGTCCTTGCTGCCACGTGTCCTGATCCTCCGCATGTTCTTGGGTGCCATGGAGTCCACTCTAACTCATGGAAACCTCAAGTGACAGCGTGGACCAGCTCCACAGGGTTTTCTGGACTGTGAGCTCTCCAAGAGCAGATTGCAGGTCTTCTCCTCAAAGCAATTGGGTGGGTTCAAACTGTGGATCTCTCTCAGCAGGCAGGCACTTAGCCATGTGCCACCAGGGCACCTCTGAACCTGGATAGAGAAGGCTGCTTCTTTCCTGAGGCAGGTGGGAGTGGTGTGCCTCAAGACTTAGAAGACTAGAGCGAGCTAAAGAGAGTTAGGGAGAGTTGTGCAGGCAAGTCTCTTTCTGCTTACAGAGCAAAGAGTGAAGCTCAAAGGGGATTAAAGGCCAGGTTAAGAGATCTATGTATTACATCGTTAAAGACAAATGGGTGCATAAACAAATGTGGTGAAGAAAGCTTATGTACCCAACCCCTTGCATAAGCAAATGTTGCAAAGAAAGCTGATGGTGCCCAGCTATCAAAAGATATAGCATC